GAATCGGTGTCCTTTGAGTGGTTTTTTTAGTTTTGGAAACAGCCAAAAGTCGTAAGGGGCTATGTCGGGACTGTATGGAGGTTGTCGAAGCAATACGATATTGTGTTTGCTCAAAAACTGCTGCACAAGATTGGATGAATGCGCTGGCGCATTATCGTGATAGAGAAGCGAGTCACTACTTTCCCAAAAGTGGGGCCATTTTCTTCTTCCTGCATCACGCAAACGTTTCAAAATTTGAACGTAGTATTCTTTATTGATTGTCTGACCTGTTGGTGCATATTCGTGATGTACAACACCTTCACAATCGAAAAAAACAATCAACATTGACTTAACATTGCTCCGCCTTTGCCGTATTTTTTTTGGTCTTGGCGATTCAGAATGCTTCCACTGTGAAGATTGTTGTTTTGTTTCAGGATCATAACCATAAACCCATGATTCATCACCTGTAATAACATTTCTAAGCACATTATCATCATTATTGACCATTTCCAGATTGTCCAGAGCGATTTCTAAGCGAACGGTCTTCTGCTCTGCTGTGAGCAATTTTGGGATGAATTTCGCACACACGCGTTTCATTCCTAAATTTTCGGTTAAAATTTCTGAAATGATAGTTTTTGGTATCTCAAGGTCTTCTTCTAGTTCTCACACAGTCATACGACGATCTTGTTCGAATGCAAGTCGCACCCGCTCAATATTATCTGCGGTTTTTGTCGTCGAAGGTCGGCCGGAACGAGAATCACTATCGACAGAAGTGTGACCATCCTTGAACTGTTTATACCACTCTTTTATTCGTGGTTTACTCATACACTCGCTTCCGAAAGCCTTTTGCATCATTTCAATAGTTTCCGAACTCGTTTTTCCGAGTTGCAAGTAAAATTTGATGCAAATTTGTTGATCTTGTTTTTCAGTCATTTTTGACAATATCAAAATCCGACAAACGCGAAAAAGGCACTGTAAACAAAGACACGCTGCGCATGAACTATACGTCCGGCAGATGTCAGTAAGTAACCAATAGATTCGTGAGGCTTTATTTACGTTTCTGTCCGGTAGAGGTCGCTCGAACACTATGGCGCGAAGATATAAACGTAGGCCCGGTACTTTCCGGACAGACCTCGTATATGATTGTAATATTTCATTTATTACATAATAATAATAAAAGGTAGCGCTATTGAGACATGCTCTCAACATCTCCAACTCAGTGACGCTAACTCTATAGCCCGCTCTACCTTCAGCTACTGCACTATAGACCACACTATGTATGGTAAATATATAGGGTTGTACTAGCCCCCTCCTCCCCTCTCCAAATTTTACGCTAGCTCTATAGGGCCTCTCTCTCTCTTTAGTTAGAAGTGAAGCATTTTTTTTAATTTGTTATATTTTATGAATAATACATATAAATATTTTCAAAAATTATTACTATTTATTTTATTTTATTTTATGTTATATAAAATGTAAATAAATGTTTTTACAAAATAATTCTTATTTTTTTTTGTTTCTACAATCTTTTGGGGGCGAGTTGGATTCCTTACCATTGGTTCGGTTGGTATCAATATAAATTTTCGTCGAATCGTTTCAATGTTCTACAAGGCTGGTCTCTTCGGGATATTTCATTGTAAAAAAGAGAAAAATATTAATTTTAATTATCATTATTCCGAACTTTCATGTATTTTATGTACTTACCACAAAAGACAAAACAAGCGGTATGTCAGTCGAAGCTTAAAGTGTCTCCGACTGCGAAATGTCTAACGCAGGTATCTGCAAATGCAATTTTTTAAAACCTTCAAGAAATCGATGCTAACTATGTTGACGCTGACGATAGTTCTTTCGTATATGAAAGCGCTACATCTTACCTAGATTTAATCGATACTTTCATATGTTACTTTGTTTACTTTCTCTGGTATTTTATCCAGCTTTAGCTTGGCCAGTTCTGCTTTCCTTTTCCGTTCCAATTGAGTGGGTTCTTGTTTTCTATGCATGGCCTCTGCACGTTTCTGGTGATATATCCCAGCCATCACTCTTTCAGTCACCGTATGTTCGATTTGGTAGACAACTTTCTGTGCCATTAATCTCACCACCATTAACTTCTTGATTCACTAAAGAAGAAAAAGAATAATAATTAGAATATGAAAATTGATTGTAAATAGTTAAATAATAATATTAAGCTGTTAACCGAGCGGGATGTATAAATACGTCAAAAGTAAACAATATCGGGTACGGGTAGGGCTTATGAATACGTCCTCGATATTTATATTGCGCCCTGGAACGGGCGGGACGTATATTTTACTACTACTATGGTAATACGTCATTCATACACGTCTTAGTGGAAAAGGACGCGCCCGTTATATGTTGCGTAATTAGAAAGGGATATCCCCGGTTAACAGGTTAATAAAACTTACTTGCAGTAGAACAGCTTTCATCTGCGATATCTATGTGGCTTACTATTCATTATTTCCAACGCATCTGATAGATATTTATATTATATTTATATTATAACGAGATTTTAGCCCAGTTTACCCCGTGAATATAAAAAAACAGTAACTGGGGAAATATCAAACCAACGAAGTCTGAAGCTTCCTGGACATGGTCGTCCTCCTAGGTCCGGTGCTCTTCACGTCGGTGACAGGACGGTCGGATCAGCGCAGATGCGTAATGTTGGCTAAGGAGCGCGAAAGTCGAAAATTCATAAGTGGTTGTCGGCGGGAAAAAGTAGGACGTTCAAATAAAGCAACGGGATACGATTAAGTTAAAACATTTACAAAAAAAAAATATCTTTAATCAATAAAAAAAAGTTAGAACAGGCGGTCGGAAAGAGGGAGAGAGCACGCTGAGTGAACGGATAGAGAGAGAGAGTAAACCATCAAGCCGGTACTCACAATACGGTTGCCTGGACTCTAGGTACGTCAATGACTTCTACAGTTTGATTTGACACGTGCGTGCGAAGAATCGGACACCATGTGTACTATGCAGCTCAGTCTCCCTTCTGATGGTGCCTAGCACAACGATGCTCCACACTACCGGGTGCAGCCCACGCGTTCAAATCGTCCGCAGAGCCAGGCGACGTCGCGATTCCTCCCTGAATAGGGACACACTCCAAGAGCGAAGAAAAAGGGCGGCAGGTCACAGCCAAGATCCAAGGAATGAAGGCAGTTGGAACAAAGGACTCTGTCTGCTCACTCGCGTGTCTAGACAGCTACTGCTCGCGTCGCGGGTTTAACTACTCGATTTCGTTTTAATGAGCCAATCAGTGCGCGCGATCACTCTCTATGGCACAACTATATTTCTCTCTCTCCTCGCCTTGCTGTCGCGCACGGAAGTATCCCTGCGTACTCACATCTCTCTCTCATCTCACTTACCTTATCTCAGAACAGAAGTGTAATTACTTATGTAAATATATATATATCATAAATGAATATAAATATAATAAATTCATAAAGATATAAGATATGTTCGGAAAAATATGTTATTATATGAAATATATAATAAAAATAATACTTACTGTATTTAAAATAACGTCTAATAGCCGATACAATCGCAGTCGTGGGATGGAATTAGTTTTCTGCAAATGAAACAATAGAAATTATTTAAATCATACATATATTTTAATTATTATTTTAAATTTATATTTTTTTATAATATACTTACATTTTCGAGAAACTAAAAGGTATTGAAAATGTTCTTCATTATATATATTTTTTCACTTACAAACAAACAATTGTCACAAGTTTAATACACTTTTAAAAATTTAATAACAAAAGCTTGTTTACAAATTAAAAACATTTTTAAAGAAAATTACCAAAAACCTCATTGATTACTATTACTTTAAATTATTATATATAACTAATAATAATTATATCAAAAGATCTTACCAGGGTTGGAAACGAAGTAATATTGACAGCGAAAAAAAACTGATCAACGTAACATAAAAATTTTCTCCCTTCTAGGAAAATTTCCTTATTTCAAAATATAACTCCTCCTCCTAGTTAGCAATACAATTTTTCGGATGCTGTACAGAGTTGGGTTGGGTTACAGATGTGGTTTTTAATTCGTGTAAACATATTTTTATTGTTTGCGAAAGTATAAGAGTATCTTTTTTTCTACGCCGACAAAGCTGAATGCACCAGTCTTATCGTGTATTTATTAGCAAATGCCGTTGTAGATACAATCCTGCACACTGTCCTACATGTATTCATGAATGCTTCAGTGTAGAAAATTGTACGGAGAAGGGAGCATGCAGTGTTGCACACTAATTTGACAGAAAGCATGATGCACAAGTTCAAGCAGAAAATTGTATCGACTACTTTCCACACTTCTGTACGCGCTTATTCCTAACATGAATTATATTTGGATGAATCTGTGACTAGATCACTTAATACTAAACACGTAAATATATATCTTGTACTGCACATTTTCCTATAGTGTATACGCGATTGTTTCTGTAGTCTGTAGGAGCTTTGCAGATATTGTATAAAATATTATACAGTAAATAGTAAACAATTTTATAAAAATCTTGTACACATATTTCCACTGAGTAGTTGACGTCACAAAATCAATCTGTGTACAAGTTTAGTAAAGTCAGTGACATTTTTAAAACAAATCTGTATAAATTAGCAGGTTGAAAAAGTGGATTATTTTGTTTCAAATAGAAATATTTTTTTCTTTTTCAGTAATATTAGAATTTTGTGTAGGATTTTTTTCATTACCTAGCTTATCCAAAAATGTGTACGGCTACTTGCACAGAAACGTACATTTGAATATTTACATAATTGATTAAATGACCCTAAACATTTTCGTATAGATATCCTGAAATATAAAAATTTATGTAGACTTCGGTATAAAATGTTTTCATAAGGCGCCTTTTAATTCATGTTTTCGAAAAGTTGACAATTGTAAAATAAAATTATTAAATATATAGTAAGTTGATAAATAGTTTTTATTTTTATTAGTTCTTTATAAAATATGAAATGAATAATTATTGAAGAAAAGTAATACTGATGATCGATTAGTAATTTCGTACAATAAGATCGCAATAATAATATTTACAAAATGAAGAAAGTTATTGAATAATTATTGGCTTTTACTATGAACTGTTATGAATATTCTACCAGTCAATGTGCGTTTTCAATTTTCCACTATGTTTTTTTTGTCTCGCTCGTGAATTTTGAAACCAAACTTGCGTTACTCTTTTACTTAATCCTGTAACATGAGCAATTCTCTCTAGATCTTGTCCATCTGGATTACTATCTAACTGAAAATTAGCTTGCAAGACGGACAGTTGCTCTTCCGTGAACGTGGTCCTGACACGTTTTGTTTTATTACCTTTACAATGTTGCTCTGAATCACAGTCTTCCGAGGAAGATGTATTGTTTCCTTCGATTATATCAAGATAATGAGCTTTACATAATAATTTTGCATCGATAAGAGCAAACTGTTCACCTGTAGACAGTTGACGAGAGCACATATCACATGCAAAACAAGCTAAGTGATAAACTCGTTCACGGGCACGTCTAACCCAATCACCTGACCCAATACTGCGGTTGCACTTAGCGCATTTAGCTCCAAAAGTTCTGAAAATTACAAGAGTTTTATTAGAAATTTGTTCATTCTCCATGAACTCAAGTGTAATTTGAGGTACCAACTAAATCAAAAAATTAAATTTAAATAATTTTATCATAGTTTTTGATGATAGTGAAAGTTATCGATTTATAATATTAAAACATTATATACCTAAGTAGTAAAAGGTAGTAGATTTTTGTCTCGTATGAGATTTATACTCGAACGAAGCGAGGGTATGTAAACCGTGAGTTTTAAATATTTTTTGTATACAATATTTTAGAAAACAAAGTATGGAAAGTTCGTATACCGCTAAATATACAGAAAAGTTGTATATTTTGCATGGCGCATTCAACAGGAAGATTATTCCTATGATTTTATCCATAAGAGGTGGATTAATTAATTTTTATAACTTATTGTATGATAGATTTTGTAAAAATATACCTCTGCTAGAATCATAATAAGTTTATTTTGGTATGATAGTAGGATATGCGCCACTTTGAAGCTTGGAAAAAGTAAACGAACTACGGTGGTCTACGTGTATGCATTTTCAGCCTTTAAGATCTACCTTTATGCATGCGTAAAATCTCGATTCTTAACATTTTTTTTAAAGATCATGACGGGACGAATATTTAGGCAAAGTGACGTTGCAGAGTACGTGATCGCGACTATGTGCTTGCGGCCAAAGGGCGCCGCGTTCGCGTGCATACATGCGGGGAAAAGGCTAGATCTTTGCCCTGCTGATCAACCGGCTTTGCATCTCAGCGATGCTGTTACATCGTTATTTGCTCTCTTGACGTGAGAAGTCAAGAGGCAGATAGTTGTCCAGTGCTAAAAAGGGAAGGATCGCAAAAACTCACGGGATCACGACAGGTACATTCGTTGCTTGCGGGATCTTTCGGAGAGGGACTTTTGGTGAAAGATGGTTAGCTGATATTTTACTTTGAGCACCTCGGCTTTATTAAACTGTCAGGTAAACGAAACGGGTAGCCCTTTGGGGCTACAAACGATTGAACAACAGTGACAATGTCAGGCCGAATGCACGCAATCGATAAACTGATGTATGTGCGAGAGAGAAAATATACGCGGAGCTAAATGAAATGGCGGGTTAAGTTTCACTCCCAAACAATACAAATCGAACGCTACCTTAGCTTTGTCGCTGATCAGCCGACAAAGCTTTATTGTCTCACTTTCACTGCTACCGCTGATGATGACGCACGGCTACGAAAACCTCTTATCGAAGACTTCGTCCTCTGTGCGGTGCTGGATCTCGAGCTCGACGAGCTCGAGGTTCCGCTCTGATGTTTGAGGTGCGCCGCGGCCTCATCAGCACATCATCGCACAAAACTGAACACGCGAAATCAATCACACGGGTGGCTTGCCGCAACGATTTGCAAGAGGCTACTTACTGTTCGTTGCGCAGATATTGCACTAGATATTCCCTTTCTTAGCCGCTTTGTTAGTCAATGCACCGAAATCCTAGAAACGTTTTGTTTTTTTTCAAGATTAGGTGCGGTAACTCGAATAGACAGGAAAAGACTACCGATACACGTGCGTGCAACGCTCCGTCTGCGCGATCCAATTCACGAAACGAGGAATACTTGTTACAAAATATCTCCCTTAATTTATAGATTAGTTTTAAAGATTTAATCTCTCTTAATCTTAGATTTTTTTTCTAAATTGCAGCATACTTTTGGCCTTTTAGAATGACATTATTGACTTGGTTAGTCTGAATAAAAAGGTTTTCAAATGTTTTCAAAATTTGAAAATTGAATATTTTGAAGATAAGATCACACATCTCTGAATAACATATATTTTATATTTATCATTTTATAAATACTTCGAATTTTTAAATTTTCGAATTTTAAAAAGGGTGAATGAAAGCCAGATTAACAAAAAACCGCTGTTTCACTAATTTTTTCGGTATTCCTTGGTGTCATACGGAAACCCTCAATCCCGACCTTACCGTTTTGAATAATCTTTTGATATGTTGTAACTAGGTATGTGATTTGTTGGCGTGCGCACGCGGCAAATAACAAAATATTTGCCCTCAAGGTCGCAATGTCTGTCACGCGTCGATCTTGCATGTGCACTGCCGTTGACTCCTCTCCTAACCCTGTTAGAATGCAAAAGCATATGAGGCGTCTTATATTGCTGCTCGTAGTAAGGCGACGTCTCTGAAAGGATGAGCGAAGTTGTGAATTCACGGACATTTCCTTGGGATATGTGCAGATTACGATTAGACAGAGAGCAAAGTTATGCAGAGTCAAATACAAATGAAAGTACGCGCGGTCACCGAAAGTCTCTACTCTCAGTAGAGTAGTTGCAGTTGAGAAAGACGGTGTCAACTTACGCGAACTAAAATCGTGGATAACGTGTTACGCTTTCACAACGGAAGATCGGATGCGTGCTCTTCTAATTATTCGTTGGCCAGCTTACTTATTTTCACGTCGACAATGATTTCGATCTTCTCTTTTTCTTGGTCACATGTCTCTCTTCTTCTCGTGTTTCATATTTGTATTCGATGATCATACGTACCGATTGTTGCAGCAGATAACGCTCGGTTGCCGATTATCGAGCGATTAATTTCTTCTCCCCGTCGCATGTACGCGCAGCTCGATCGACCAGTCGCGAGCCTATCGGTGTCGCTCTTGCGCCGGCGGTGGTGGGTTGGATGAGCAGAAGCTTTAATGAGCAGGACTCGTTACAGCCCCCCTAGCCGGGACTAGTCGAATCTAAGTCTCCGACGATATTATATAGAGCGACGAGCTTGGCCGAGCCCTAAAAAAACAATAAAAAGGATGGGGCGAGGATGAAGTAAAACACCCGGATTTGGAGACCAGAGAAACTTTATTTTCGGGACGAAATATTTTTTTCTTTATTTCCGAGACTTCAGATCTCATCCGCCGGTCACCCTCGTGCCTCCTATCTCAGACTTTGGTCCACGAAGTCTAGGTGTTCGTCGGTACGTGAATACTTATCAAATCGGAACACACTCAGGAAGTGGTATTCCACAGGGCTTGCGAGGGGTTACCCTGGGGCATGCTCCGCTTCTAAGGTGTCAGCGAAATGTTGTCGCGCCGGTTTGACCAAATCCACATCGGCGGGTTTCTTTTCGTCGTGAGTTCGGACGGCAACACCATACTCACGTTGACAAGCACGATAGCTCCTGCACCCAAGGGGGCGCTGACGGTCATAGTGATGTTAGTTGTCGTGGTGGTGGATCGGATCACTGTAGGATGCTTCCACCCCAAGACTTGCTGCCTGGGAAGGCCCTCGACGGTCGTTCTGTTGTGCGCGTACCTCTCGAAGTCGACGTGCATGTACACACGGTAACGGATCCTAACTCGGGGCCGTCGTTCCAAATCTGCACCTTCACCTAATTCCATGCAATAGATCTAACGGGCACCCATGACGAAATCGCCCCCGCGTACAACTGTACGGAAAAGAAACTCCTGGAGCTCCGCCCATTTAGGTGAAAGCTAATTCGGTGGTCTTGGCTTCTTCGCTGGTGTTGGCGTCAAGGTCTATTTCGTACTCCAATACGCTGTTGAAGTGTTTGGTACCAGGAGACGACGCCGAGGAAGGTGCGTAACTCTTTGAAATTTCACAGTCGTGAGTACTCTACAACTATCTTTATTTCCTCGGAATTCGGCTTTATTCCTTCCCGGTTAACCAGCAAGCTCAAATACTTTTTTTAAAATTACTCTGTTTTTCCAAAGTCGCACTAATGTCTGTTAATCGTTAGGCCAGTTGCGTTTAGCCTTCCCGGCACGAGCTTAACTTATCGCATATGTTCTTGAAACTCGAATAATATGATTATTATATCATTCAAGTATGCAAATGCAATCGCCTTCGATTCCGGGCTAATCATTCTATTCACACGAACTGATAGTGTTCCATTCCGGGCACAGTGAATTCGGTGATGGAATACTGACGAGATCTATGATGTCTTGCTGTAAGAAAATGTCTCCTTACTATTTACAAACTGATTTGCCTATGTGGCAAGGCTTCGTTTTGAATTTGTTGCGTATTTCTTACTGGTTGACGTACGATTGCTCGTATTGTACGATAGCCCTGGCAAGTATTTGTACACGTTTTCTATCTTACTCGGTTCTTCTGCGATAAACACCTGTTTCATTGAATTGAGACAGAAGTCGAGAAACAGTTGAAAAATGAACCCTCATTGGTCTTGCTATCTCATGTCGATAGTTTCTGAGAGTGCAATAATTTACGTGGATTGAATTTCATTCAATGAAGGCTTTCTATTTTGCCAAGAAATTGATTTGAACAGTTTTAATATACTGCCGTAAAAAATTTTGCGAAACAGTAAAAGGTTAAAGAATGGTTCATTTGTAAAAGAACCGTATTCGTTAAAATTTGGAAACGGTCAGATATGGAATAAAATTTTTTTTTTATTACTGATATCAGAAAACAATATGCGTCGGATGACAATATTAATAATTTTTACAATTGCTATTTTACAAGAGATATTCAATGTAAGATAAAAATGAGGAAATAATAACATTTACAAATTTAAAAAATTTGTTTTTTATATTTCATTTGTGTTAAACCCGATCGACTACCTCCTCGTGGTGCTTATTAGATGATGCTAAATCGACGGTAATATTCGTTTCGCTCAAATACAAGTTTTCTATTTCGCTTTCATCAGAATCAGCCAAGAAATAAGATTAGAATCCGTGCATATGTAGTCGAGTCATTCTACACCGCTGATTCAATTGTACGATAGATTATCATATTTTACGAATAATAATAGAATTTTAATAGAATTTTTAATAGAATTTTTAATAGAATTTTTAATAGAATTTTTAATAGAATTTTTAAAACGCTGCAAAATTGTCAAAAAAAATCGTAGCGGGTCAATTTTTTTTAAATTAAAGAAAAAGAGACTTTAAGATGCAATAATCAGAATTATCGATAAAAACCACTCACGCGCGGGTGCACTGCCAATGTTTACGATTTTTGAACTTTAAAAAGAACCTTGAATTTCAAG